TCGCCTGGTGTTATTATGTATTAATGGCAAACTAATGTTTGAGATCAAGTATGATAAACAAAAAGGATAATGAAACCAGAACACATCTGTTTAGGTAGTAATTGAGCACTTGTCAAAAACCAAGAGAAACGAAAAACCCTCTTAGCTGGAATCCATGTGAAAATTATGACAAGTGACTGGAAAATGTAGGTTATATGTTTCAAAACTTATCACAATGATCTAGACTTAAGGCTATGAACTTCTGATCAAGCTATTGACAATCTTATTTACGTCTAAAATAAACTTAATACAAATAGTTTAAGAGTAAATATCGTCAAGCAACTTCAAACCAGTTCCAACTTTTTGATTGTCAACTTCTTTCTCCAACTATTTCATTTTATTTTTTTGATCAGATCCTACTATTTTATGCGAGTAATTCATCTCACTTCAAAAAACTTTGATAGTCATTATTAGTGAATTCATTCGTACTGATTGTTTGAAATTTCCCGTTGATGTTATGAATTGAAATTTATAAGCCAGTAACTAGTTGAACTCATTGAACTTAGTCGAGAACACATTATGCTAAAATCGAGTTCCTCTATAATTATCTACACTAAAATCCAAGTACATACAGTTAAAGGTTCCCAAAAAGGACAAAACTCTCATTCTATATTCTAACACAAGGCATTATTCAATTATACTTATAAAAAATTAATTTTAAATCCTCATTACTTTTTTTTTTTAATTTTCTTCCAATAGGTGGGACACTATTTAATATTATTGGATTATCAAGTGATTATCAACAAAATTTCACTGGTTGTATTGCTGATATGCTTATTCAAGAGAAAATTATACCAATCTTATCAGAAGCAACAGAAATACATGGTCCTATTGAAAGATGTAAAACACCATGAAATAAATAAATAATATAAACAAACATCTTCTATTGGATGATTCGAATAGGAAAAATTATTAAAACTTAGATAATGAATTATTTATTTGTAAATGAAAATGAACCTACAAAAACTAAAAAGAATCCTTTGTGTTGTATAAATAAATAAATAAATCAATAAATAAACAAATCAATTATTTATTCATTTTAATAAACTATGACATTTAGGTAAAATGCCAACTTATAATATTTTATTGATATCCTCAAGAAAATAATCAATACTTTCCTTTTATTTTTCTCTTTCCTCCCCCCTCTTTCTCCCTCTGTCTCTGTAGTTCAATGATGATTATCTATTGTTGCTTATGTTATTCGTTGTTTTTTTGTTGTTTCATTTTAATCTTCATCTATCCATTTTTGTTATTGTGGTTGTTGTTGTTGCTCAAAATTTCAGTGTTACAAATAATTCATTGAACTCTTGAATCTTTTACGAATCCATATCTAAACACCAAATATTGAAAAAAATATATTGATTTTTTGTTTTATTTTAAACCAAATTAGATTCTTCAATATTGCCATGGCTACAAATCAAAATAAAAATTGATTATGTAATGTGAATTTGTTTAAATATTATGCAATCATTCATTGTCATACATATAAATATATATATATATATATTAGTGATTTTTTATTATAAAACATTCATATAGCGCACAAATACTGTAATTAAACATTTGCACAAATAGATATTTATATTATCAAATTACTTATTATTATAAAACAGTTTACTTTGTCATAATAATTTTGGCATAAATATATACCATATACCCTATTTTACATAATAATTACATAGATTTTAATATTTTTAATGTCATATTCATTATCATAACATTAAATAATAAAAAAAGAGATTTAATTTCATGTTATCAGAAGGGGGTTTTGTGGAGACTTTTTTTAGTAATTTCAATGGTTGAGCTCGAGTCAGTTGAAGCTAGACAAATAATATATACCTGGTAGCACTGGATGGCCGTTTCGTCCTAGTATGGGACTCCTCAGCAATGCGCATCCGCGATCACGCCCTACCCCCGCGCGATTCGAATCCAGGACCTATCAGTCTTACACGAGAGCGCTTAACCATTGAGCGGGCCGGCATCCAACGGCGGAATCGAGAATGCACATTGATGGGGAATCCCATACTAAGACAAAACGGTCGTCCTCTGTTTCCAGCTTTTCTATGGTGGTCTAGCTTCAATTAACTCGTGATTTCAACTATTAATTTCATGTTGTTTATCGAGGGTTTCATGGAAAATATCAAAAGAAAAATATTTCTTTAAAAAAAACTACATATGAGTAATACATTTTACTAAACATTTTAGTTCTAGTTGTTTTTAACTTATCTATTTGGTAAACAAACAAACGAAAAAAAGTGATATGGGCGAAAACATTTCTATTATTGATTTGCTTTTGAATGTCATGTTACTACATTCAGATTTTATTTATGTTTTACAAATTATCATGGAATAAATATCAATCAAATTATGATTGGTTAACTAAGTAATATAATTTGAAATCCAAATATCAACAATAGTAATGTATGAAAACAAGAAATAATAAGTGTTGTTTAATATAAAGGATGACAGTTCATTTGCAAGTTCTTTTGGCCAATTGAATAGACTGTTACTTAATCACTTATCTACGCCTGTTCCTCATTGTGGAGTAGCATAGGCCACCCACCAGCATTCTACACCCAACTCTGTACTGCACAATCCTTTCCAGCTCTTTCCAGTTCCAGTTGCTATTCATCCATTTCATATCTCCTTCCAATTCTCCACTCGGTGTGCTATCTGGTCTTACACGTTTCCATTGCCTTTCACGATTCCATATTAGCACTTGCTTCGTGATGAAGTCTGGTGATTTCTACAATCTATGTCCTATCCACTTCAAACATCTCTTCCTCATTTCCTCCACAGCTAGCTGAAAGTTGGATTGTTCTGTCCCATAGTAGGTTGTTACTCATGGTATCTGGCCAATCGACATTGAGTATCTCGAGTAGACAACTATTTATAAATAATTGCACCTTCTTGATGATGGTTGTGGTAGTTCTCGAAGTTTCAACTCCGGACAGTAGAACTGACTGTCTTGACGTAAGTATTGAACATTATGACTTTGATATTGGTTGACAGTTGTTTTGAGTCGCATATGTTCTTCAACTGTAGGAATACTGTCCTAGCTTTGCCAATCCTCGCCTTCACTTCTCCATCACATCCTCATTCTCCATCGATGATGCCGCCAACCAGACACGTGAATCTTCTCACCTCTTCCAGAGATTCTCCATCAAGTGTGATTAGGTTGGTGTTCGCCGTGTTGTATTTCAGTGTGTTGCTTCCTCCCTTGTGTATGTTGAGGCATACTACTGCAGAGGCTGCTACTACACTAGTTATCTTCATCTGCATTTGTTCGTGTGTATGGGATAGGAGAGCTAGGTCATGTGAGAAGTCCAAATCGTCTAATTAGTTCTGAGCTGTCCATTTTAAAAAAGGAATACAATGGACAGCTCAGAACGCTAACCAGAATAAACAGTTACATAATATTATAGGTGATATCGAGGACAGAGTTAATGAGGGTGATTGTACATATTTCGACTGAACGAAAACATCCAGTACTTTACTATAGAGAACGATAACATCAGCCATGCTCAATAGACGCTTACGTAAACTATTGAGAAAACTAAAATAAATCACTTAAAATGCCTCATATAAATCCATTCGTTGTCCAATGTCTATCGAGTTAATGGTAGTAGACAGATTTGACTGTATGCTTGAGCTATCTGAGGTGCTCTTGTAGGAAGTCTTATAAAGTGTTAAGGAACCTTTCAAATCTAGACTCCAACTGATAACCATAACGGTCTCGTCTAACGAATGATGAAAACCAAGGTAAACTATATCGATATTTGACTATATAACGTTAGTTTGGATCCAAAGTGTTGGATTTAAGAACACTCCTGGTCTTCCCTTGTGAAACTTAACTTTATTTGGAGGATGCTTAATTACTCCTTATGTTAGGTCTTTGTTGTTTCAAAGGATTTCCCACATCCGGTAGCAACACCGTGTAACAGTCTCATGATCCGTTTACGCATAGTGATTATTATATTTGTGTAATCGACCTGAAGTACCAGATCAGTCGTATTTCACGAATATTAATCCAGTGGATCTCATATCTCAGACTATTTTCGACACTGTGGAAAAGAGGACAAACGGTCACTTCATGACACCGCCTGTGTGATCTACCCTATCCAAATTGTTTATAACATTATCATTTCATGATGTGTAGCTAACTTGTCTGTCCCATTTAGTATTGTTTCTTGTCAGTGATATAAAAACCTAATGGTTCTAGATGTATAGGACAGAGTGAAAGAAATCAAAGTGATTAATGACCACACCTTAATTTCTTCGTATATTCTTCATGAATGAGCAGTGTTAGCGAGAGGAAACAAATCTACCTAATTCCGTTCTTAATTTTACTGTACTCTTTGATATTCTTGTTTTCATCATTATAATCATTCTGAATCAATCATTTCTTTACAAAACTCATGCACTTCGGACCACTGAAATAGATAAGGTTTCATCGAGATTGCTAAATTTCCATATTTTACTTCACATAATGATCTTAGTTAGACAACCTAGAACCATTGGATAGCTGTTTCATCCTAATATAGACCCCCTTAGAAATATACACCCACAACCATAACACTAAAGAGTCGAAACTACAAACTTCAGTTTCATGAGCTAACGCTTAATCTCTTGATCGCTGATCTGGAATCCAATGGTATACAACATGTCTGGACTTAATTAATCTTTCTTATTTTCAATAAATAGTATCTAAACCCAAGATGTTTACCTACAAATGAAGGAATCATAATTAGGGTCAGGAGCCTAGTTATGACAAATCTTTTTCTTTTAAATTGAAAAGTACGCAGTCTGATCAAAGAGAAAATCTTTTCGAAATTTCCATTCAAAGAAAAAATATACATTATTGAGCAGATACATATGTGATATATCTCTGTAACTTAATTTATATATATATATATATATATATATATATATATATATATATATATATATATATATATATATATATATTACATGTGAACAGATACAATTGAAGATTGTTAAGTGGAAACAATGAGAAATTAGAAAAATACAAGCTCACATATTAAATCGATGACTAGTGTCATTGATCTTGTTTGACAAACAGTAAATTGTTCACAAATAATATAACTATTCATACATGTTTACATGTATGAGTTTTATTTAACTATTTCTATTTCTCTTTTTTTTGAAATGCCATCGACAACAACAATAACAAAATGTAGGAAAAATATAAACATTGTCTATAGTGATAATTACATGTTTAGTTTGTATAATTTTGTTAATTATTAGAAATATTCACATTGGAAGTTGTTATATTACTGGTAACAATAATACTGGTTGATGTAGAAAGGTCAACATTATTATTATTATTACTGGTAATAGTTGAAACAGTAGGATTATTCACTGGAGCACTACTACTAATACTACTGATCATGACAGTCCCATTACTAGTTGTTGGATTGTGAACTGGATTGCTGACAACAAGTTGAGTAGATGAAGTATTAGTATTAGTATTAGTAGTGGTGGCAGTAGTATTAGTAGTAGTACTGGTAATTGATATTATATTAGTATTTAAACTATTACTATTAATATTAGTAGTAGTATTAGTAATAGTATTAGTATTGCTTTGATTCATAACAAAGAGGCATTCAGCCATACATTCATAGGAGGCGCGATAATCTTCCAATGTAACACCAAATCCTTGACGTATACGCCAATCATGGAGTAAGGGAGCAATACGATTCTATGGATAGAAACCAAAATGGAGAGAAAACTTTAACAAAGGGAGAATTTTTAACGAGAAAAATTTAATGGAATCAAGCGAGTGATTTTGAAATCGATTCTCAGTGTTCTAATGAAAAGTTACAACTGATGAAGTTGAACTATATGAAGAGCGAGATTAACAGTATCATTGATAGCATTGAATATTTATATCGCTATACGGAGAATCGACTAGAATTGAAGGTGTGAACTGTTTGATTTCAATTAAGTGGTCGACAGATAGCGCTCATGCCATTAAACCTTAAGATGCTAAGGAGAATCCAATCCCTAGTGAGGTCGTGAGGGTACATTGTTGAGTTTCAGGCTAGAACAAAATCCTTATCCAATAGGCTACTTATCCGTAACCTTTTTAATAACCAATAAGTCTCGTATGCCCTGCGCTTTTAGTTACTTTTAAATCTACTTAATAATATAAGTGATGCATATTAGAGTGCAGTTTTTACTAAAGACTTTATCTCAAGTATTTGTAATTATCCATAACCGTCTAGTACTATAAGCAACTTTTGACAGTGGGATTCTGTCTAGATTTCGGGTGTTATCTTTAGGGGAGTTCATGATGTGAGAAATGAAGGACACGAACATCGGAATCGTCAATGCCCAATCTACCTTAGGTTATCTTATTGATACATTTAATTTGAAACTAGTGATGGTTTATTGGCTAAGGTGTTCGACTTTCAACACCTAAGTCCCAGGTCCAAACCACACCCGACCTACTTTGATTTGGACAACTGTGGGTGGGAGTAGTACTATTATTCCTCAGACTTAGTGTTCCATACTCAAGTACCTGATGAATGAATTAATTTAAATGTTAAATTACGAAGAAAATTATAAAGAAAACGTTGCCCTCACATCAAGAAATTAACATGCCAGTATAGCACAGATGAAATTTTGGATGACAAACATATGTTTGTGTTTGAAATAAAATCTCTATTGAAAAAGACACTAATATATGCAGTATTTAACTATTAAATGAACGGAAAAATGACTAAGTGTTGAGTTCAAAGAAACTTATTGAATATTGAAAACGTTGCGGATAACTTGAGCTGTTCAATTACTCTAGGTCATAAACGGCTATTCAGTTAATCTTAGTCTGTAAACTTTCCATGTTTTCCACCATTTAATGATACAATTGCAATTTCCAAAATAAGCCCATAACCTATGAGCATACTTCGCTCTTGTTTACTAACATTTACGCAAATTTCAATGGTTGAAATCATGAGTAAATTGAAGCTACATCATCATGATATACCTGGAAGCACTGGACGGCCGTTTCGTCCGAGTATGTGACTCCTCAGCAGTAAGCATTCACAATCCCGTCTCGGAAGATTCAAACCCAGGATCTATCAGTCTCGCGCGCGAACGCTTAACCATTAGACCACTGAGCCGGCATCCAGCGGTGTTAATATCTAACTCCAACCAATCCACGAAGTTGCGCCACCGTACACCATTGTCTTCAGTGAGTTGATAACTCACAGCAGACCTGGTTGAACTCCACTAGTAACGGCTTCTCACTAGAACTCCACGAAATGCCTCTTGAAGTCAGTCACTAGTGAGCAGATGATTACTATTAGAAGGGGTTTTGTGGAGAGTTTTTCAGAAATCTCAACGGTCGAAATCATGAGTCAGTTAAAGCTAGATCAACAAAAAATACCTGGGAGCACTGGAAGGCCGTTTCGTCCTAGTATGGGACTCCTCAGCAATGCGCATCCACGATCCCGCTCCCCGCGAGATTCGAACCCAGAACCTATCAGTCTCGAAACGGCCGTTCAGTACTTCCAAGTTTTCCATAGTGGTCTAGCTTCAAATTGACTCATGATTCCAACCATTGAAATTTCCAAAAAGAAATCTCCACAAAACCCTTTCTAACTTACACAAATATCTCTTTATATAATTGGAATTAAACTCAATCTATATAATAATGAATTGTTAATCACAGATATTATGATGAATTTCCACAATCATTATGTTGTAAAGTTTGTAATTTTATTAATGAAACAGAGTATCCTCGGATATTTAACGCTTAAAATTTAAGTCATTCAGAATTTAATAGCTCAAATTTTAACTGAATCTTAAGCCTTATTTTACTTTAATGGTTGTCATTCAGTCATAGTCAACATAAAGACCAGCACAAATTTGCGTTGACCGAAGCTGTCACACCATATTAGTCCGACCAAACGAAATCAACAAGATTAATAGCAAAGGAATCGAAATAATGTAGTAGCAAGAATACCAAGAAGATGGTTCGAAAAAAACAAAATGGAAGGATATTTATGAAGCGAAACTGAAACCGAAGGTCAAGAGGAAGATAAATAGTTCATGTATTTGAACTACTATGATCAATTCTAAGTAACATCACCTAAAGTCTTCAACTACTGATTGCTGCTATCGCGTGGGCCCCAACAAGGTAAACTATATCTATCAACATGGCTCATATCAATAGTCCACAACTTCATGAACTGATGCCATGCTTTGGTTAAGCCGCTCTTAACTTCCTTTTAACTTACTCCTGTACCACTTGACATCATTCATCGAGGTAAATGATAATTAGGCACAAGTAACATACATCTTATCCACCTTATTCGACAATAAGTCGCAGTCCCAACAACCAATTTATCATGTTTGCCAAATGTACCTCAAAATCATTATATTTAAAAACTGGTTGAATTTGGTATATAATAACAATTTAAGACATAAACGAATAAATGTATAAGAACAAACTAACCGTCATCATAACTTTAAGAAAATCAAATGAACGTTGATCAACTGGTAAAAGTTTTACGCCTAAACTTAACGAAAGCACTGGATGTTGTTGTTGTTGTGTAGGCTTTAAATCATTACTTCCTGAAGTATTCAATTCATTTAACGTAAGATTTGATTCTGTTAATTTAGTTAAACGGTGACATAAAGGAGACAATAATGGAAATACCATCATTCGTAAACATTGTGCACCGAATTCAGCTAATGCAACAATTATACCATATAATGTATTCATTGAATGTATAGCACTGCCTAAACTAGGTCCATTGTTATTATTATTAGTATTGGAATTACCAGTTGTACTATTAATACTACTACTATTATTATGACTAGTAGTAGTGGTAATCGTAGTCAATGTTGTATTTGTAAGTGAATTGGTTAAATGATCACTTTCATATTTACATAGTTTCGTTTCATCCGACTTTTCATCATCCGTATATTTTGATAGCTCACTTTTAACAATTATTGGTACATTAGGATTTGATAATTTCATACAAGTTTCTGTAGAACTATTAGAGGTACTACCACCATCAATCCAATTGCATAAAGCACGCGAAAGTTCACGGGTAACACGACCGTATAATTCATTACTAGATGTATTATGCCTGAATAATTATTATATTAAATAGATAGAAAAAACAATATATGGCAAATTGTAATCGTCTATTATTATTATTATTATTATTATTATTATTATTATTATTATTATTATTATTATTATTATTATTATTATTATACTCATTTAAAACATGAATTACGAAAACAAATAAGTCATATTATAACAATCAAATATTCCTAGACCATCCTGAGCATAATAGAAAGAAAAGCCTAATGATTCATCCAACATGAACCATTTTAACAAATATCCACATATTCAATCCTGTTCACATTCCATACCACTAATAAATATACAAATAGTCTTAACCTTACTCTTCAAAATTACAGATATCACATTTCCCACATCCACTAACACACACACACACACAAACACACACAAATAAGTCTCACACAGAATCAGTTTGACTGAAATAACAGGACATTGACTTGATCAAGTCGATGTTAATTTTGATTATACTGAAAATATTTATGCTTTATATCTTTTGTACTTTGTAAACTTGTGTTTATTGAATTTGTTATTTAATTTTATTCTCTGAAGAAATTACTTACATACTTGCATACGCCTGCTACCCATCATGGAAGAGCATAGACCACTCACCAGCATTCTACACCCAACTCTGTACTGCACAATCCTTTCCAGCTCTTTCCAGTTCCAGTTGCTATTCATCCATTTCATATCTCCTTCCAATTCTCCACTCGGTGTGCTATCTGGTCTTACACGTTTCCATTGCCTTTCACGATTCCATATTAGCACTTGCTTCGTGATGAAGTCTGGTGATTTCTACAATCTATGTCCTATCCACTTCAAACATCTCTTCCTCATTTCCTCCACAGCTAGCTGAAAGTTGGATTGTTCTGTCCCATAGTAGGTTGTTACTCATGGTATCTGGCCAATCGACATTGAGTATCTCGAGTAGACAACTATTTATAAATAATTGCACCTTCTTGATGATGGTTGTGGTAGTTCTCGAAGTTTCAACTCCGGACAGTAGAACTGACTGTCTTGACGTAAGTATTGAACATTATGACTTTGATATTGGTTGACAGTTGTTTTGAGTCGCATATGTTCTTCAACTGTAGGAATACTGTCCTAGCTTTGCCAATCCTTGCCTTCACTTCTCCATCACATCCTCATTCTCCATCGATGATGCCGCCAACCAGACACGTGAAACTTCCCACTTCTTCCAGAGATTCTCCATCAAGTGTGATTAGGTTGGTGTCCGCCGTGTTGTATTTGAATGTGTTGCTTTCTCCCTTAACTCCGCCGGAAGTCCCTCCGGGGGCTACTGCCGGTCCCAAGCCCGGATAAAGGAGGAGGGTTGGACATGGGGTTAGCGTCCCCATCCCGTAGAAAACTAACTCGCTAAAAAAACGCTAACCAGAAAAAATTATTCAAACCTTTTAAGTAAGCTTTCTCCCTTGTGTATGTTGAGGTATACTACTGCAGAGGCTGCTACTACACTAGTTGTCTTCATCTGCATTTGTTCGTGTGTATGGGATAAGAGGGCTATGTCATGTACGAAGTCCAAATCGTCCATTTGCATGCAAGCTGTCAACTGTATTTCGTGTTTCCCCCTAGATATCGAAGTCTTTATAATCCAATCAACCACCAGAAAAAAACAGAGCGAGTGAGCAACCTTTTCTGACTCCGGTCCTCACTTGGAATGAATCTGTCAGCTGTCCTCCATGCACCACTTTGCACTGTAGTCCATCGTATGAATTCCGGATGATCTTGGAGATCTTCTCAGGTACTCCTTAGAGTTGAAAAGGTTTCTATAATGCCCTCCGATCTACAGTGTCAAGCGCTTTCTCATAGTCAATGAAGTTGATGTATAGTGACGAGTTCCACTCAACTGATTTGTTCAACGATGATCCGTAGTGCCGCGATTCGCTCTGCACACGACCGACCCTTACGGAATCCACCCTGTTGATCTCGAAGTTGGGCGTCTACTGAGTCTTTCATCCGGTTCAGCAACACTATTGAAAACTTTTCCTAGTATTGACAGTAATGTGATGCCTCCATAGTTTTCACATTCTCTCAGAATTCCTTTCTTCTGTATATTGATGAGGTATCCTTCTTTTCAGTCTGTCAGTACTTGTTGTTTCTCTCAAATCTTCCTGAATAGAACATGGAACATGCCAGTAGTTACTTCTATGTCTGAATTCAATGCTTCGGCTAGTATATTGTCAGGTCCTGCTGCTTTCCCATTCTTGATTTGTCTGCTGACCATCCTAATTTCTTCGGTCGTTGGAGTAACATCTATAGGAAGGTCTGCAGATATTGCTTCGATGGAGCTGGTCTATTCAAGAGTTCCTCAAAGTGTTCCACCCATCTGTCCCTCTATCCTTGAATTTCAGTGATTGGCTTGCCCTCATAAACCGATTGATGTTAGACCACCTTTGGAAACCTGGAAGCACTGGACGGCCGTTTCGTCCTATCGTGGGACTCCTCAGCAGTGCGCATCCACGATCCCGCTCGCGGGATTCGAACCCAAGGCCTTCAGTCTCGCGCGCGAACGCTTAACCTACTGGACCACCGAGCCGGCATTTAATGGTGATAGTGTCTAACATCAACCAATCCACGAAATTGCGCGACCAACTTCCATTGTACTGAGGTAGATACTTGTCTCTACCCAACATGGAGTAGTTCCACTGGTGGCTACATAACTTTAGACAATATTCATTGTAATTCCCTCCTTTTTTTAATGATGTTTTGATGATCCTCGACCCATGAGATTCCAAATACTATAACTGTATTTCGCGCTTCTTTGGACAGCATCAGAGCAATTCCCTGAGTGTGTGGAGCATTTTTCTCTTCGTGACCGGGGTGCAGTAGCATCTCTTCCGTATCTTACCTTTGCTGTCCAATTTAGGTACAATGGGTTTATCTGATCCTAAGCACTGTCAAGTTGTATCTACTCATTTCCATAGCTATTTGACTGATCCTGTCGGTCCCCCACATTTTCCGAACATTCCATGGACTTATACTAATTGTTGCCCTGGCTGTTAGAAGGGACATCGACCTCATGACTTTCGAATAATTTCGGCTTTCACCATGAGGCACCGTAATTCTTCTGAAAGAAGATTCTTCAACTTGAAGGGCAGAGTTTAAATTGCTTATTCTGATTAGCGTTTTTTTAGCAAGGTTGCTTTCTACGGAATGGAGTTGCCGATGCCACGCCCAAACCTCCTCCTTTGTGTGGGCTTGGGCCGGCATTAGCCGTAGAAGAGCTACAGGCGGAGTTCTCTGAAGAAATGGTTTACACTAATTCATGAAACGTCAGGAATCTAATTTTCAACTCATTGGGACCTAACAAATACATCACAATTTCTATTACTGACAATCTACCCAAGTGTGCAATTTATTAAAAATTATTAAATCAACATTGGTTATGATACTTACAAAACCATACAATAATTTAAGATAATCAAATTTGAAGTGACCGCTTCGATGTGTTGGTGAAGAATTCAAAATAGAATTTTAATTATCAATAGTCTAATGAGTGAGTGGATCTGGAAATATATCATTATAGAATATTTAAAATGTGTGGACGTGCTACGAAAATGTATTATTTCACTATAATTCGATTGGATTCCAAAAAAAAATGTTTTTGATAAACTCTCATTTCGAGTTTTGAAATTGAGTACATACTGTTTAATCAGGAGCCGTGAAATTTGCACCCTAAATGAATGATTCCCAAGGACACATAAAGAAATGTATAAATACCTGCGCATTCTCCCCTGTACCATTGTCAGTTTGAGCGAGAATAAACCTTCGACTTTATTCTATCTTCTGAATAATTTTGGGTAGTAGGTCAACAATTATTACTGTCCTTACTTCCCTATTGCGTTAGAGTTCATTTTATGTAGTTAGACCCGAACCATAATAAGGAATCTACTCTACGACAACAAATTACACCTTACGATAAGTTTTCTTACATAGAATTCATTTTTATAGATCATATCGGACTGATAAATTAAAATGCAAAATCCCTTCTAAAAAATGAAGATTCAATCCTATTGAATTAAGCAATCATATTAACCATTGGCTGTAAGTTATGCTGTCCATTCTTCTCAATCGGAAAAACCATCTATCTAATGAATAAAACACCTACGCAACACACATACGTGCAAAAGAAGCAGTAAAATGTGCGCATATACATATAACTTACCTATTACATAAAGTTACTAATTGTTTAGCAGCAAAATCTCTTAATGCCCAATGATTATCTGTGATTGGCTTAGCGCATAATTGACGATTAAGTACACATGTGATCACTGTAGGCACAAGTAAATGTAAATATGGTTCCAGTGAAATATGCGGATTATCAATTAATGCTTTAACTAATCGCATTAAATAAATTAATATAGCAAGATTATGATTAGTTACATTGATTCTTACCTGTAGAATAAAAATAAATAGATAGACAGATGAACAAATGTAAATGTATATTCCCAAGACAAAAAATAAAATTGAACAAAGATATTGATTGAAGTTAGACATGTACACTATTAAATAACGGCTCAGTGGTCTAGAAGTTAGGCGTTTGAGCGTGAGATCGGTCTTGAGATTGACTCCTGGTTGTTGGGTCATGGATTCGCGCTGCTGAGGAGTCCCACACTAGGATAAACCACTCATTTGGAGCCCCCAGGTTTTTAATGGTTTTTTAACTTAGGTCGATTTATAGCAATAAGAGAGAATTGGGTTGACTGTTAACTAGTTAAAAAATAAGTTTTAAAAAAGAAACCATTCAACTATTAACTATAAATTAACAATGAAACATACATCTTATAGAACAGATGGAGCGATGACTCATTGGTTGAAATTCGACTTTTAACCACCAACTTGTGGGTTTAAACACCGTTGTATCTTTTTCGATCTGGGTAGATGTACAGCGCTTACATTTTGAGTGTGGCAAGCCAAGCATATAAATCTCCGTTTGGTGAGTTTAGTTGACAAATATGTCAAAAGTAAGATACTTATCACTAGTGAGATTGGATGATTGCATTGCTAAATTATATAATAAATACGGAGTTGTTCGGTCTCAAACTATTATTCTACATAACCCAAATGCCAAAACATAAGTGAGTAACAAAATACTGCAACTAAGTCCCAACGTATAGCTTTAGTTATTAAGCTATAAGTTGTACCTATTTTATATGTAAGAAACTAATCAAGTAGCGTTTAACAGCTGATTATTGCCCATTGACCCCTAACTTCATATAAACAGAAAACCATAAATTCAATAGTTGTGCTTCATCAATCGTCAGTCATACGCAGCGTAGAACCTGTCACATCCATACATTGGTTTGAGTTGGAACACTTCATTAGCACAGAGATACGAAATTGTCAAGGCAAGTCCCAGAGTAATTAAAGTAGAAACAGTATTAGAGACAATAGGAAAGACCAGCCATAGAAGATGTGATTAGCGAAGGTATGGAGTAAATTATACAAAAACAGACAGGCAAAAACTAACACTTACAACATTACCGTGGAAATTAATGGGGTAAGAATGGGGAAACAAGGTGATGATTTATCAGTAATAATCGAGAACGTGTCGCCCCATTTAGCTATCTACAATGTCTTGATATATCTGCTAAATAACTTTACATCCAAACCAACAGAGGAGCTGAAACCTAGAACAACGGTAGGTGATGAAAATATGCAGTGGAATCAAGAGAACGTATAATTCACTCACTGGATAAGAATCACAATTCTTTCAAGTCAAACTTTTAGTCAACAGAAAACCAGCCCTCATTATCGCATCATTTTCACTGATAGTGGTAGATTACTTAGTGTTTTGAAAACTAAAGGACTGTTTCAATGAATTGAGTATATAAAATGTTTATTAAAGTTACTTTTTAAAAATAACAAGCAAAAACATACACCCTCTGTAATGAATGTCATAAGATGAGGTAATATTGGCTGAAGTCCTGGATCTAATGTAGCATTGTCCAAAGCCTCATGTCGTCGAGTTTCATTAGCACCAACACATGCCTCAGTTAATTCACGAAAGTAAATCATCACCTCTTGACTGATTTCATGAGAACGACGCTAGCAAAAAAAGTGGGGAAAAAAATAAAACATAGATAGTAGATACAGAATCAACCATTAATGTTAGGTGTTTGTCAGTACTCCACTCACAAATATACATATGAGGCTGGCAGAAAATGTATAACACGGTATACAGTTTGTTGGTACTCTAGGGCCTCGTCTGCATTTATCAGAATAATCGAATAATCCTGATGTTAGGTGTGGGGTACTAGGTAACGACAATAAACCGGTTGGTGAAACTGTGAATCTTCATCGATCAAGGTAGTCGGAAAACGTATCAAGCATTGCTAGTCACCACCTACCTCAACGCGTAATGATAGTTGATATAAAACTATTAAAAAAAAACCAAGACATGATGTTTATTCATGAAGTCAAGGACAGTTGGTTTGAGATATATCGGAAAGTAGAAACCTTTTAATTTGGGTCCTCAAGATAACCACAATTTGTGGTCAAATATCATAGATGATATGAATTAAGAGCGGTATCAGTAGCACAAATATGTTAAGTCTTCATTTGTTTCGAGATCGTGAGCCTAGAATTACCCTTTACTTCTCACTCCTCAATCGTATTTATTCCAATCATTTCCTATTACTTCGGTTTGGAATATTTTTATATTATCAGTGTCATTGATATTTCAACTCTTATGACTTTACACCTGTTAATATTTTTTCTTTGTGCTGATATGATGTCCGACAACTTAAGTCAAGTCATATTTGTACCATAACCTAAGTAACAACATGTAAGTAATGACGTTGGTTAGGTGAATAACCAAATTGTTTAAAAAAGATCACCCAGATTTGTATTTAATCTACCGTGCAGCTTTGAAACATCATGTGACTAGTCACGTTCTCCTCGGCATAACAAGAATCATTGTTGAACATTTAATGGATTCGACTTCAAACTTTGATCAATTTTATGTCCATTATGATCTACTGAGAGTGAGTATGAAGTGATTTCAGAGATTTCAAGCGAATTAAACTAAAAATCTGTTATTAGAAAAACTTACTGTTGAGACACGATACAATCGTTACCGTATAATTTTCTTTACTACGTTCTCGCACCACTGATCATCGATGTTAAACTAACTGAATACAATAAATGAATCATCATTTACCAAGCACAGGATTATGTACTCAAAGCTTTGAGTTACGACTACTCTTTCAGGGTTAGCAACATTATTACTGTTTCACTTTATACCAATTAGAGTGGTTTCGAACTCGTGACATATTTGATTAAAAGATAAGTGTCGTCTAATTACTAACCTATCGGGAGCTGACTAATGGTACAGTCCTATCAAACCAACAACTAGATATTTTTAGATTACCAAACGTTAGGGACTTTGCGCAATATTTTAAAAACTGACATACTATCCTTAAACAAATAACAACTACACAACTTCTAGGAAACTTTGAAAACGGCACTAAACACGACAGTACGATAGTACCTTTTGGTTAGTTGATAAAAATTATGATGAAAATTATCCCAAAAATTAGCATTAAATTATCAGAACTAATAACGACACCATTATTTTAAATTTTTAGTCCAGTATAATGCATATATATTTATTTAGAATACATTAACATAAAAATAAATGACTTAAATCAGAATTTACTTCGACAGACACTGCTAAAACTTTTCTTGGATGAGATCCTGATAATAAATCTAATTTATCTCGGTTACTACTATGTATACCAATTTTAGGATGTTTTTCAACTGATGAATTTATATCATCATCTTTTTTGTGACTAATCGGTCGTTTATTTTGTTTATTGTGAGATCCAAATGAATTATTTAACAAAGCCATCCTTGCTAAAAAATCCGGTGGCGGATTCTGTGGTGATGTAGGCTGCTTTCCATTTACCGACAACCAATGAGCTGAAATGAAGTAATACAAATATATATCTATATATTTAGCGAATCACAATGTAAGAATATGTTTTACTTCATATGACTAAATCAGATCTACAGTATATAAACATGTTTTATAGTGATTGATAAGAACAATTCGATCTGCGTGAAAGTTTGTGGAGATTGCTGAGCGTCATTAAGATTAAAAATCGGTCTAAGCTGGATAACTCTTTAAAACCTGATAGCAACGGATAGCTGTTTTTTCCTAGCATGGGGCTCCTCAGCAGTGAGTAGCCAAGACCCCACCACGAGGGGTCGGACCCAGGACCTTCGGTCTGACTCACGAGAAATGTCTATGGGGAAATTCAAATAGCTCATTTCTATCTGGAGTTTGTATTAACGATGTTTTTCAGAAGGATCAAGAAAACTTCGCGATTAAACCACCCAGCTGGAAGAACAAAACTCCACCAAAAACTAACCAACACAACTGAAACTGATCAAAATCAACATAATTTGATAGAAAAACTTCGATCATCAATGTAATAGAAAGGATCACATTGCTTGATATACAATGACTGGTTGTTTGTGGTGACGAATTATAAATTGAGGGAAAGAACATAAAAAACAAAATAACTGGTACGGCGGATCCCTACTACATTAACCTTTTAACAAGGTTTTAGATCCTTATAGTTCAAGACCACTAAAGTTTTGAATGGAACCAGAAGACGGAAATGTGACGAATCCACTTTTGAGGTTAGTTTGATTACTGAAACTAAATGGTATATGTATGGATACCAGTCAACCTGAAATCCTTGAACTCTTTGAAAAAGGTGCAATATGAGTAATAAGTTGACTGATCTAGCTTGGTAAGGACAAATTAATAGATGTCTAAACTCCTTTGTCGACTTTCTAAAAACATTGATTGATTGAAGATAGCTTGAGTACTTTTCAGCTTTGCGCAATTTTTAGAAACAAGTATAAAAATCGCCTAAAAGTAAAACTAACTCAAACGCAACCATTCCAACCGATTACACATACTAGTTGGTCTACATTAACAAAAAAACCAGTCAATCTATTGACGTGTCTCAGATCGCATAAATTCTGCTTACCAACTAAACTAACATCGTAGACAACACCTGCTGGTTCACGAAGTAATAAAGCTTTGACATCGATTTCTTTATCTGGTCGAATGAAAAAAACTTTGCCACCAGGACCTGAACTTGCGGTACGACCACCCGTACGAATTGGGAGAAAATTTGCGGTAGTTGTTCCGAAAGGACTCTGTTGGGGAAATAATAATATTACTCAGAAATACCAATTTCTGATTAAGAAAATTTGGTAAAAACGAGGACTGAAATGAAACTAATTATGAAACGACTAGGTTGGAAGGAATTAATACGAATAACCAAATTGCCTGGGGTATTTAAAGGGAATATTATAACAGTATTGGTATAAAATAAGAATCTAGTAAACCTGTACATTAAACTGATACATATTCAATGAACAGTAGTTACAACTTTCCACCAACTAAACTACTTATAATGGTAGAGAAGAACAAGGATGTATGCCCCCAAATGCCCTGGTATGAACGAGAGTGGGGCGGGTCCGCCCTCCCTCTCGAAATGCTTTCATATGGCCACGCGTATACAGCCTCTTCCTGGGAAGTCCTACTCACTGCCTTCTCTTGGCATAACTGTTGTTCATGAAAATGAGAGGACGAAAAGCGAATGTCCGGTGCTTTAACCGGATCCCAAACCAATGATGCACATGGGCTCCAGTATCCTGCGGGAACAAATGGCGTATGAACCAATCGTTGGTCACCGGCTACCATATGGTAGCCCATATAGGACTGCATCTCCTCACGATACTCCACTGCCTTGTGGGTCATACCTTTAGGTCAAAGGCTCGGGGTGTGGCCCCCTAAGATAACCACCTGCTTCGGTCTGGGCACCCGGGCAGTATCACAGCCCACACAAAATATAATGATAATGATCGTATTTACTGAAAATTCTATTCACGCTTCGATTAACAGTCAAACAATTCACATTATTATTAACTTTATTTACGACGTCACCTATTCACTCACTTTTATTCCCACTTTATGTATCCTTATTTTTCGATTTATACAGCAGCTCTCCTATGGTGGAAACTCGACTGTATCTAAACATTCTCGAGTCACTGCCTGGTTAAAAATTGAATGCTACCACCAAATACGAATACTAAAACAGCTTTTCTGAAACCACGTGCGCCATTCAAGCTGTCTGCCTTCAACGTTCACACAGTAATGCAGCTCGAACAACAGATAGGGATGGCTATGTCTTTAGAAAGTCTTAATATCAACGTTTGTTATCTATCCGAGACCCGTATTCAAGACTCTGGTGAAGTACTACAAATTCGCTCTTCACCTGTCGCTTCGAACCCGATCGAAGCTGCTACCTTGACGCGGTGGTCGGGCTTGCCTATCGTGATGACCCAACCGAGCTATATTGGCTGGAACATATGTTCCTGCAGGTTCTACCATGCCAGGCAGGTCGATTGGCGAACGGTAAGACTAAAAGCAGCAACTCAAGGTCTGAGGGCGAAGTCGTACTGCTGACTGTAGAGAGGTGTGACAGCAGTAAGGTGTTTCCCTCGGACAACCAGCATGACAGCGATGCTGCCTTCCCACAAGGAGGGGTGGGGTTAGAAAAGGTCGACCCTAAAAATGTCACACCCCACCTTACCTCACGGATTTCCGTCTCCGGCGGTAAGGCCCTTTGAAGAACGGAGCTAACACGTCAAAAACCTTCCACAAAAAGGCCGTGCGCGACCGGCCTCAAGCAGTTGTCCCTTGGGCTCTGCGGTCACGCTCCCAGGTCGTCAAGACCAACACTAATCCAATTTCCTTTTCAGGTTCCTCAAGAAATACCCTTCCACGGTGTGGGCAGCCGGGAAGTGACATCAGCCCTCATACCCGTAACAGCACAAGAGACCAAGGTGGTCACATTCAAATCCTTCCTACACCTCCTAATACCTCTCTTATCCTCCCGACTAACCCTCCTCACGTCTCTTTATCACCTCGCACCGCTAGGGCAAACGATTCGAGTACGTGGAACGCTATTCCTGGTCTCCTGAAACCACGCTCTAAACTACACGTAGGAACTTTTAACGTACGAACACTGTGCCAAATAGGACAGCAGGCTTCCTTAGCTAAAACTTTAGAATCTCGCGCCATCGATGTGTGCTGCGTCTCCGAAACGCGCATACAGGATCCAAGTAGCGTCATTCATTTGAACTCACCATGCCAAAATAAAGAACCGACTCGATCTACACTTCGTGTATCTGGAAGCCCTGATTCTGCTTCCCGTGGCCTCGCCGGCGTAGGTATAGCATTGAGTCCTAGGGCAGAACTAGCTCTCTTAGACTGGATCACAGTAGACAGTCGTTTGTGCGCTGTCCGACTGAACGGAACAGTAAGAATCCGGAAAGATAGGGACACTCGTCGTTGCCTCTTCGTCGTCTCTGCCTATTCTCCCACTGACTGCAGCTCAGATGATGTAAAAGATGAGTTTTACAGAAAGCTTTCGGACCTTCTCCGAAAAGCTAAGCGCTCGGATGTAGTAATAGTGGCCGGTGACTTTAATGCTCAAGTAGGTAAACTAAGCGATAAGGAAAGACACCTAGGTGGATCTTATGGTGTCGTGGCTCAAAGAACAGATCATGCCGACCGTCTGTTGCAGCTATGCTCAGATAACCGCCTGTTCCTTGCAAATACTAACTTTAAGCATAAGGAAAAACATCTTTTAACATGGCGACCCCCTAATTCGTCCCAACGTTGGACCCAAATAGATCACATCGCTATCAGCCACCGATGGAGGGGCTCGATAGAAGACTGTCGCTCATTCTGGAACACATGCCTAGATTCAGATCATGCTCTAGTGCGAGCGCGTATTTGCTTGCGTCTTACTGGACGTAGGAAAGATCCTGCAAGGAAACCTCTTAGGGCCTACTTAATGATAGTCAAGCTAAGAATATATTTCAGGAACAACTAGGAAAACAGTTAGGCAGCCATGTATGTGATGCCCACCCCGAGGCAGCATGGAACGATATCCGAAAAGCTGTGGAAACAGCAGTGATATCTGCCCGTAAGGTAAACCGTAAAGTTAGGGAGCAACACTGGATCTCAGCAGCATCTATCGCACTGATAGATGCTCGAAAACTCATTCCACCTGGCTCTGAACATAATGAAGAGCGGAGTCAGCTTAAGCGCAAGCTGACAAGAAGTCTACGCAATGATCACGAACAGTGGTGGGTAGCGAAAGCAAGAGAGATGGAAAAGGCAGCGGCAATAGGTAATAGCAGACAATTGTTTAGACTCGTTAAGGAAACCGGAATTAGGAACCCGACCGTTAGCGAAACAATCTCAGAGAAAGATGGACATATTATTCATTCTCAATCCAGGAGATTGGATCGATGGGCAGAACACTTTAGGGATCAGTTCAACTGGCCTTCAGCCACACTTCGGTTTCCCACGATCTCCAGTCAACCTGAATGGCAAGTTAATGTAAGTCCTCCGTCCCTTTACAAAGTTGAAAAAGCCATAGGAAATCTGAAACGAGGGAGAGCAGCAGGCCCTGACAGGTTTACTCCTGAGATTTTTAAGGATGGTGGTCCAGTATTAGCAATGAGATTAACTGAGGTCTTAGGTAGAATTTGGGAACTGGACGTAATCCCATCTGACTGGTCTCAATCACTGATTGTGCCAGTCTATAAGAAAGGACAAAAGTCCTCTTGTGACAATCACAGAGGAATCAGTTTGACTAACATAGTGTCTAAAATATTAGCCTCAATAATACTTCGACGCCTAACTAAAGCTCGTGAAGAGCAGACTAGAGAAAACCAGGCTGGTTTTCGACCTGGACGTGGTTGTATCGATCAGATATTCACACTACGTCAGGTTCTAGAACAGAGACACACATTCAGACGCCCCACAATGGTAGTATTTCTCGACCTTAAGGCGGCATTCGACTCCGTTGATCGTGAGGTTCTATGGCAGTGTTTGTCACTGAAAGGAGTACCAAAGAAGTACATTAACCTTATAAAGGCTCTCTACTCGAACACAACTGGTAGAGTGAGAGCTTATGGCGAACTGTCATCAGAATTGATCACCTCAAGTGGTGTTCGTCAGGGCTGTCCACTCTCCCCATTCTTGTTCAACTTTGTCGTCGACGTACTTTTAGAGATAACACTCTCCTCATCTAAATTTCCAGGGGTTGAACTTCTACCAGGAGGTTCACTTGTTGACTTAGAATATGCAGATGACATAGTTTTATTTGGTGAAGACGCTGACAAAATGCAGAGTCTTCTGACCACTCTAAGCAACAATGCAAGCATGATCGGGATGCGATTCTCTCCCTCGAAATGCAAAATGTTGCTTCAGGATTGGGTTACATCGACACCCGAACTAGTGATAGGGAGTGAAGTAGTTGAGTGTGTCGACCGCTTCACTTATCTTGGAAGTCTCATCAGCCCTTGTGGTTTGGTGTGTGACGAAATCTCAGCACGGATACAGAAGGCTCGACTAGCTTTTGTCGACTTGCGTCATTTATGACGTAGGCGAGATATCCGTCTATCAACCAAAGGACGTGTTTACTGCGCAGCAGTTCGTTCCATCCTACTTTATTGCAGTGAAACATGGCCGGTAAGAGTAGAGGATATCCGTAGGTTACTAGTATTTGATCATAGGTGTCTTCGAAACATTGCTCGTATATCATGGGACCATCGAGTAAGTAACACAGTTGTTAGGAAACGGGTACTAGGTAAGGATGGCAAATCAATTGATGAAGTAGTGAAACTTCATCAGTTGAGATGGCTGGGACACGTGTTACGTATGCCCTACGACCGACTGCCTCGACGTGCTATGTTCAGTGGTATAGGAGTAGGTTGGAAGAAAGCTAGGGGCGGCCAAACCAAAACATGGCACAAATCCATGAAGTCACTGACAAGTGGACTGAGTCATGTTGGTAGGTGTAGACTACCTGGTTGGGGACCGCGAGATGACAGCAACCGATGGTTAGAGACCACGAATGACATGGCTCAAAATCGTTTGCAATGGCGCAGGTGCATCCACTCTCTGTGTTCTCCCAAACTCTAATCTTCTGAATTCTTCATGTCCCTTTTTTCCTCTTTCCAAATTTCTTTCACTGTATTATACTCTTTAAATAACATCTCCAAACCCTAATCTTCCCGATTACTACTTATACTCTTATTACCTCTACCACTACGGGATTTGAATCGACAAGTGCATCTCTGTGCTAATGTGGTGTGGCAACTCGAACTGATGTACGTACGTACGAAGTTCTACGTTGTTACTGACTGACTGACTGACTGTCGCTTCGAAAAGCTTGTTTTACGCGCGCTTATCCGGGGACCCTGTGGCATTTTCGTCTGGTCTTGCTGGCGTTGGTGTCACACTAAGCGCTAGAGCTGAGGCAGCACTAATCGATTGGATCCCCATTAACAGTCGGTTATGTGCTGTTAGATTAGAGAGTTCCATCAAAGTGAGAAGAAACCGGCGTGTGAAACGATGTCTTTTCGTCATCTCCGCCTATGCCCCGACAGATTGCAGCCCGGATGCAATCAAGGATGAGTTTTACCACCAGTTATCTGTTCTTCTCCAGAAAGTGCGTTCGACAGATATTGTAGTACTAGCCGGAGACTTGAATGCTCAGGTCGGGCGTCTAGACACAGAAGAGTCGTTTAGGTGGCCGATGGGGACTCGTTGGTCACAGGACAGATAAAGGGGACCGCCTACCGCAACTGTGCACAGACCACAACCTGTTTCTGGCTAGCACTAACTTTCGGCACAGTCATTGCCGATGTGACACCTGGCGTCCTCCCTCTGCATCTCAAGCCTGAACTCAGATTTATCACATCGCGATCAGCTACCGCTGGCGTGGTTGTGTACAAGACTGCCGCTCTTTTTGGAGTACCTATCTGGACTCTGACCATGCCTTGGTCTGCGCCAATCTTGTCTTACTTTTCAGTGGCCAACGAAGTGACCGCCATCAACGCGTTGATATAGCAAGCTGGTTGCAACTTCTGTTGCAAATAAGTATGGAACCGAGCAAGCTTCTAGGCTAGCTACCATTCCACCGAAAAGTATAGATGAGCATTGGTTGCAATTGCATGACGCCATGAAAATGGCGGGAACAGTCAGTTGTGGGTTTGCGAAACGTCCCGCTTATAAGCACTGGGTTTCTTCTGGTTCCTTACAATTCATTGAAGCCCGTCGGTCTACTCCGGGTGACCGTGAGTTTGACCATAAACGAAGGATGTTACGTAAGGAAATTGGGCAAAGCTTGCGTAAGGACCGAGAAGCCTGGTGGTCGGAGCGTGCTAATGAGCTGGAAGCAGCAGCTGCATCCGGTAATTACCGGAAGCTCTTCCAATCCATCCGAACCACTGGCAGCAAGAAGTCTAGTGTGAGCGAAACAATCTACGAGGATGATGGGATGCCAATCACTAACATTCATTGACGTCTTGGACGATGGGCAGAATTTTTCGAAGGACAGTTCAACTGGCCTGCTGCTCCGGCAACATCGGTCAGACTGTCCTGCCCTCCATGGCCGGTGACGACTGATCCACCAAATGAGGCGGAAGTCCGCAAGGAACGCCAACTCTTGAAGCGCTACAAATCACTTGGCCCAAATGACTTACCTCCGGCTCTTTTTAAAGATGGTGGTGACTTTCTGACTAGGCAACTGACGACGTTGTTTACAAAGGTCTGGGAGCTCGAGAGTGTACCAACGTCGTGGAATGAGTCGATAGTTGTCCCTATCTTTAAAAAGGGTTCACCCCGTTCCTGTAACAACTATCGGGGAATAAGTCTACTTCCGATTGCGTCCAATCTATTGGCTTCCGTCATACTTCGTAGGTTGTTCAAAACCCGAGAAAGATTGACTCGCGAGGAGCAGGCTGGGTTTCGTTCCGGTCGAGGATATATTGAATCATATCTTCACCCTCCACCAAATGTTAGAACACTGCCATACTTATCAAAGGCCAACAATCGTAGTGTTTCTTGACATCAGGGCTGCCTTCGATTTGTTGGACAGGACTGTTCTCTGGGATTGTCTATTGAAGAAGGGTGTGCCTGAGAACTTTATTAACATCCCGAAGGCCCTATATACAAACACCTCAGGCAGAGTGAGGGCATACAACCACCTCTCTCCATTGTTCCATTCGAGCAGTGGGGTTAGACAGGGTTGCCCAATCTCACCATTCCTCTTCAACTTTGCCATCGATGACATTCTGGAAACAGCTCTGATGAATGTAAGTAATGGTGGTGTGGATCTGTTGCCTGGAGAAAGACTTCTCGACCTTGAGTATGCGGACGATATTGTCTTACTGTGCGATAATGCCCAAGGCATGCAATCCGCACTTAATCAGTTGACAATCAGTGTCCGTAGGTATGGTATGTGTTTTGCACCTTCCAAGTGCAAAGTACTTCTACAAGACTGGCAGGATTCCAATCCTGTACTCACCCTGGACGGTGAGCAGATAGAAGTAGTCGAGAAGTTCGTGTATCTGGGTAGCTGCATAAGTGCTGGTGGGGGTGTGAGTGATGAGATCAATGCACGTATAGTGAGAACCAGAGCGGCTTATGCCAATCTGGGTCATCTTTGGCGCCTTCGTGATGTTAGTCTGGCTGTAAAAGGTCGGATCTACAACGCGTCGGTGAGAGCAGTTTTGCTCTATGCTTGTGAAACCTGACGTCTCCGAGTTAAGGACCATTTTGAAACAACGACTTCAGTGGCTTGGACATGTTCTACGAATGTCGTCCCTGAGAATTCCACGTCGTGCATTGTTTGCCGTCTCTGGGACTGGTTGAAAAAAGCGGAGAGGTGGTCAGTATATGACATGGCGTCGTAGCATGAAAGAAAGCTGCAAAGGGCTAGCAGTGTTGGTCCTTCACGACTCCCCGGTTGGGGTCCTAGAGATGGTACAATACAGTGGCTAGAGACGTTATCAGATATGGCTCAGAATAGAAGCCAGTGGCGATCCTGCTGTAACCTTCTTTTACTTTCTTCATAAAAAGTGGTTGTGTCTTCTTTAACTGGAAGATTTCTTCTGATTGTACCTTTCCGTTCCCCCATTTTTACCATTATTATTATTATTATCATTACACCACCTTACATCAATCTCTTCGTTATTGTTTTTTCTCTTCGAATTCTCATTGTTTTGTGTGGCACATATATATTTGGTACCCTCTGGTACCAATATTTATGTGTTCAAATAAAATAAACAATAAATAACAAGGATGTAGGCTTATATTAATAAGAGTCCATGATTTTATGTTTCATGATTCTAGATGACAATAAATGATATCTAAAGAATAAATAAAAGTGAACGTATTGTATACTGGATGAAATTTAACATTCCATGATGCCATCACTGAATAAATATAAACAAAACTTTCAACCATCTGAAGAACAACTTTTGTGGCCGGAGACCTGACATTAATTGTATCGTGTGAATGACTGTTATTGGAATATACATGTCGCTAATCCTCGTATATAATGATCGACTTGAATCGCGTTCGTGAATAACGGAATTAAGATAAATACGAGAATAGGTTTTTGAATACGTATATTCTGTACACTCATTGATCTAGACAGACAATTAGAGAAACTAATCGAAGGAAGCGAAGGGAAGAGAACAGAGCGAAATGACACGCGGTAGGAAAGGCATGTGAGCCAATTCCACTTACTTAAGGGTGAATCAATATTTATATTCAGATAAAAATAAGTTACAGACGTGATGAGTAAGAGGAAATACACACACACACTCTCATATAAAAAGTCAAGGTTGACAAGCGAATAATTAACAAGGTCAAAATGTAGATTGAGGAGAATGGATAAGTTGGTTTGTCCAGAAGCTAGGATAAATTATATGGGCTCGACGTAGAACCAGCCACAACACCACAAATTGGTGGCAACCCGTATTTCAAAAAAGACTTCTAAACTTGAGGGTTTCCAGTCACGGAAATGTATTGATTTCTTTGATCCTTTTATGGAATTTTCGAAAATAAACTTGAAGCAAGTAGATACGTACAAAGACAGGGTAAAAAAGTCTGCGTACATTCGTTTGGTTATGTCAATCAACAATTAGTTCAAATTTAAAATAACTTAGGCACTGGTTACTGATATTTTGAAAACAGTGAAAATAAATACGTTTCCTCTCTAATAACTATAGCTCATAATAATAATAATAATAATAATAATAATAATAATAATAATAATAATAATAATAATAATAATAATAATAATAAACAGAATACTGATACGTTTAGCACCAGTTTTTATGTCCAAGTAAATACTGAGTTTACTACCAGATGTTACTATAATATTTACGTTTTGTTAAAAGAAAATAAGTCTGAAGTTGGTGGATCGAGACTATATCAGCATGGAGAAAATACAATGTGGCTGACAATTTCAGTCATCTGATTTACCACTACTAGACTGGAATAACAGGATTATAAAAATATTGCACACTCAGAACTACAGCAATGTGATGTACTTTTCGTGGGATTTGGTTTTCAATCTAAATGATTTGAGTGATAACTCTAGAGAAGAGAAAAACTATGCTTTCTGAAAGTCGTGGGTAATATAGTTCAGTCCTTTTCAAATAACATCATAATATTCTCTTTAGTCTTCAAATCAGTCATACCACAAGTGTGAAGTTAAAAACCATGTATTCAAAGAAAATGAGCGTGTTTGTTTGGAATACTCATTACTTAATGCGGTTCGACATGCAAGTAGTATCTACAAGACACAGCATACGGCCCAAAAAAAATCTAGGGCATGAACCAATGCATTAGTTACAAAATTTATATGACAGTAGAAAATCTATCCACATTAGTATTACAATTACAGAGGCACAGAATATTTACTCGACAATAACTATGAGCAGTCACATTTGAATCGGTTAACCTTACACTTGTACAGGTTCGTAAGAATAAATTACCATACAAATTTCATTATGAAATAGTGATTGTGAAAACTTGCTTCAAGTCCGATCAAAACTGAAGCCAAATCAATATCGGACGCTTGAGGGACACCTCGACGACTTTGTTCCATTACTCGAAGGACTTCATGAATTAAAAGTCGAGCTATTTGATTTAAGTGTTTCTGAAGAAGATTAGCTGCAGATTGCGATAGGTTAGAAACACCACACATCTCAGCACACAAAGTAGCAACATCAACATTAATCTCCTGTTTGGGTACCTTTTCAGATACAACGGATGCACATTTGGCTTGCTTTTGTGAATTACGAGAAAACTTCTGTCTCAAACCTAGAGCTTTTCCAAGCGATGATGATGAAGGCTTTCTTAACAGTTTATTTAATCTTCGTTTTTCTGATGAATCCATTTGAATATATCAATAGTAATGAATGGTAAACAGGTAGTAACCAATTAACACCTGAAAGCAAACGAATTCAAAATACGACGAAATATGACATTAAATAAAAAATACTGAAAGATTTTTAACGAATGATCAATACTTTAATAACGTAGTTTCCAAAAGTATTATTTTAGTGATGGAAAAACTGGCAGATGCATCCGTTTACTATTGAAAAACGAACAAATACATAGGAAATATATACTCGGTAATCCAGTCAGATGCACATCCCATATAAAGCTAGAACTCGATCAAGGAACCAAAAAGTGGTATACTACCACACATATTACATCTAACATCATACATACGTTGATCATGACTATGACGCGTTGGTAACCGTCAGCTTTGTCGATATTCTTTATAAACTGAACGGTCTATCTCAGGGCTAAATCAAACAGGCCTTACACACTAAACAGTCGACTGACAAAACGTTGGGCTGATATTTGAATATCACACGCTGGTGACTTTCAGATTTATATTTTTTCCCACAATGTTGTAAAAATAAACTAGATTGGTAGAACTATAATTTATAAACGAACCAATCAGATCCAAAACAATTGATCCCGCGTTTCAGTGTGAAATCCATTCATTCATACGGGTAAATGGAAATTACGCACCATACCTCATGTCGGTTCGTGATCAGAACTACAACGTTACTTTCTATGAAGCTAACTCTTGATCCTGATTCCTCACACTAATTTATAACTTAATTTCAACCCTAGCGAACGATGGGAGTATCACGAGGATACTTTTATTTATTTGAAAGCATAAACATCGGTACAGAAGGGTACCAAATACACATTCACCACAGAAAACCAACGAGGTTATGAGATGGAAATTGTAAAGTGAATATAATAAAAGAGGAACGAACGGAAATTAGTGTGTGAGTGTAATAATAATAATAATAATAATAATGATAATAAGAGATACAGCTCAGTTAGTAAGAATATAACCAGAAAGAATTATTCCAACTAAGGATGTTAATTATTTATAATAAAAGTAAAGGGTACTTTAGTAGTATTCAAAAGTCGTTCATGTATTCTAATCTCCCTAGAAGCTTCACTATGCTATTACACTTATTTCTGAACAATTATCTAATCAGAAATGACCACGAGGTTATCAGAAACCTACATCGGTTCAGGCTGCCACGCACTGCATGAGAACAGTCAGGAAAAAACAAGGTGAAGAGTAGAAATAACTAGTGGTATTGAAAAACTAGAAACAAATATTGTCCAGAATAAGGGAACTAAGCCAAAGGACCAAATGCATCCAATTATCTCAGGTTCAGCGTTTTTAAAAAAATTGACGACGAACTCATTCGTGTGATTGTAATCAACTTTCAGGGGGAGAATACAATTTATGGACAACCTTTGGGTGACCTTGCGAAAATTCACCTACTTACTGCGGTTAAGAAAGAGTTATAAACTGACATGAGGAATTAAGATAATACGGTTTAGAGTTATAAGTTAGGGATAGAAATTAAAAAAAGGGATTTCGTTGCGAACTAACGTCAATTATAATGCCAAAATGCTACTTAACAGTAAAGAAGAATGAATTATGCTCAAAATCCAAGACTCGCTATCTTTAATTTTATTGGTTCGTCAACAAATTGTAGTCTCGCCACTTCCAGCGATACTCCATAAGTTCATACTGTTACAAACCTCAAGAGTTCAAACAATAAACTTCGCAATTCCTCATCGTATCGCAACGGTCTTTAACCATATAATGAAAGCGGTAATACACTATGATCAGTAATGTGTTATCCTATAGGATTATCTTATAAGATAATGCTATTCCCAATCTTCAACTTTTTATGACAAAATAGAAATCTAAAAACTAACCATTAATAGTTCACTCCACTCAGACCATATCACTGTTATTTAGGAGTTATTAAGCCAATATATGAAGCATCGTCGTAATGCAAAATATTACAATAGCAACCCCAACCTAGGGATCTACTAATTTGAAAAGCCGCCTATGACAAGGACATTTAATTTCAAACTTCACTGGCTAGAAATAGTTTAAATGGCTCTGGATGGAGTAGAAACTTTCACTTAACGGGCTTCTGTAACCAGTGGCAGTGGGTCACCAATGCATCCAGGCACATTAACGATGAAGGAAGAAAAAGAAAGAAGTTGGTAATTTATAGTGAGATACTGTCCTAGGACCTTAAAAATATATACAATCTTCTTTTAGAAAACTCCTGGAAAGTCGCTTGGGCTTACTCAGTCGGCAGTGAATTCCAGCGTTCGACTACTCTTAGGGGTTAGAAGGTGTGTCTACAGTACTTTCTGCTAAATTGTTTTTCCGGTTTCTGGGTGTTACCTCTAAGTTTTCTGTTGACATCAAGCTTAATTAAGTGTTTAAGGGGAAGCCCATAAGTATTTGAGGTGCTTTAAGCCATTCAAAGGTCACCTCTAAGACGGCTGCACTCTAATGGGTAAGATTTAGTGATTGGTGGTGTTAATCATAAGGCTTGAATTTGAGTCCCCGATCTGATTTCGTGGCTCACTGTAGGATACGCTCCTGAGTGTTATTATCCTTTTGGAATGAGGGAAGAAACACCTTGTTTCCGTATTCTAATTGGGGACGAACAAAACTGCTGAGGGTTATGTGGAGAGTTCTTCCGTCGAACTGGCCGGAAATGCGCTTCAACGTCACCAGTGCAATGTTTCCGGGACAAATCGTTCGAGAGCTGTGCTGACTGACTAGACCGTGTTGATGCTGTGACAAGAAAATGAAATGTAAGAAACATCTGTACACGTTTCATCTTCATGGTTCAGAAGCTAGTTCATGATAAGTTTGTAGGTCGACACAGCTTGATGAATGTCCAGCCTGCTTCAATTATATAAACTGATCCGACCAACTAATTGATCAGTAAACTAGGCGAGCCAACTAGACTAATAAGTCTATGGTGACGTTGAAAAAAACCCTCCCTAACATTATTTACAGTATGACATTGTTGTAATCTCACACCTGTTATTGTTTATTTTTATCGATTGGTATCAATGTCAACTTCACACAACCTACAAACTGAACCGCTTGTGTATTTTCGTCTTTCCCTTCTTCTTATCAGACGTCTTTATACTCCATAAAGTATAAAACGTATCTACCTTAGAACTAGACGCAAACCATTATATATTTAAAATTCACTGAGGGGTTTACTCTTCGGGAACCCCAGCCAGTTACACACTTCGACGTGTGAAAATGTAAATAATATTACGAATTAAAAATATAGTCTTCAACTAACCGAAATGTAAGGAACGATTACATCACATCCCAATACCAAAAGAAGTCTTTTAGATAAGTCAGAAATTGCATAACGAATTGCGAACAAATCACATGAACGAAGAATATTCTTTTCAACGATTTCTCATCAGCCTCTACAAGTATGAAATCCAAATTAAAAATCCATAAAATTGGCCAGGTTTAAGGCAGAGTGCATCATTTGAAATTTTAACATGTGAGTTGGGGATTTTTTTCATATGAAATAAAATCGTCAACGTTTGTGTGTCTAATATAAAGTGTTAACTTGAACAAGCATTTACGTCAAATGAAACTGTTAAATAAATGATCAGAATAGATATCCTCAACATGAGGTGCAAAACAATAGTGTAATAACGGGTAACAAATGAAGTAATATGTAAATAATATTGTGACTTAGTTAAGAATTAGTAGATAGAAGTGAATGATGAATAATTTTCTCAAAAATGTTAGCGAATGCAATAATAACAATATAATTATAATAATGAAAATCGTAAGATGTGTGGATAAGATAAGGATATAAAAATGAACATTACTCAAGTTGTGTCACCACACCACAAAATTGATTATTAACTAATTAGGCCCGAAGTTGGCCAGGCTAAAAAGAGCAGTTGAACATATTTCTCCTGGACTCAGCTCTGGCTATTTGATCAGAATAGAATTTGTTCAGCCGCCTGCAGGATTCTTAGTCTGACAGCATTAGAGAGACTGTCGTTAGTACGATATATTGTGAAAGATTAATCCATGTTGACTGTGTGTCCCGTTCGAATAAAATTAGCTCGAATGGAGCTATTAACGGTTTTAACTACATTTTTGCTCAGTCACACTGAGAGGTGCTTACGAGCCCGAATATAAAAATTCCTACAATATATGACAAAATGACTTGCTCTACACTACCAGTTGGATTGATAGATACAGAAAAAAGAGGCTACTTTAGGTCATGTATCTTTCAACCTCTAAGCGGTTATCAGATGTAAAGAAAACGTTAATTGTAGTCTACCTGCATTAAGAGATTTTGGATTTATTAATCTATTTATTTATCTCTTTGCTACCATAAACCTGGTAAAAATGAATCTTCCAACCCAGAAGGACTTATACTGCAATGATAGATTGTAACAGGGTGCTTCGTTGAAAATCTTGGTGTAAAATTCTTTGCAGGTAGTTGTCCAACATTTTTAGTTTAAAATGTAAGCCTTGTATCAAACAAGTGAGTAGTTTGTTCGAATCAGTTATAATAATGTTCCAACCTAACACTGGGAACTGTAATCACTTCATTATCCGGAATTAGAGACAAACTAATGACGATGGATTTAACATCTAGATAACAGGATGTATAAGATTTTGATATATTTTTTTAAATTTAGATACTGATATTGATCATTTATTGGTGGAATTAGTTATGAAATTATCGGCGCTCGTTACGTCATTAGCCAGCTGTACTTATGAACAACTTAGATTATTTTATGTGTTAATATTGAATCTAGATTACTCTGCTTTGAAACTTGATATCTAATTCATTGTTATGTCACTCATTCAAAAACTTGCACTATCGACTACTAGTGTCGATAATAATATTTTCTGAATCTCATGCCTGTGTCACTTCTGGTTATTATGGATTGCTTTTATCAATAAGCGTAGAAACTTACTAAATTTTCAGTCCACTTTCCACCAGTTCTTTTCGATTTCAGATTCGTCCACATACTGCTCCCCACACTCCTTCAGCACAGAAATTACCTTCAGGCTTGATGCAAAGCGACCAAATTCTAAACGTTACAAACGGTTTCCGGAGTTTTTAACGAATCCGCTCTGTCTTTGGCGATACCTTTATTTGTATCTAAGTATCCTACTACCGAAATAATTCTATCTAAACGAAAGTTCAAACAACCATCAATATATGTGATATTATTTTGCGAAAATAAGGGTATATGATGGCTTCCAGATAGCAAATCATAATCAACTTAACTCATTATGTATTTTGCCTGAAATTTCATGTGCAATAAGAATGCAGATTTATGGTATAGGTTAGTATGAAGTACATTTATCTTCGCTGGTAGAATAGTCGATCTATTTACGACTGTAAACTTCTAATGAGATGACTAACAAATCCGTCGGTAAAATTCACATCACTTAATATGCCGATTCGTCCCATCATGACAGTCAGCAACAGGCATTTTAGCACTTCTGAAGAACACATTACGGCTGGCATTATAATTGATGTCAATCAGTGATGTTCCTAACTCACAACACTAGCCCAACTCATAACACAAAGGTTTCAGTTTTAGTTTGGTAAGGACGGAAGGCCTTTTTGCGTTCTCTTTCTAAAGCTATGTTTCCAAAGTTCTCAGCCCCTTGTCAAAGGACAAAATGCAAACTTGGTAGTTCACAATCAATTTTTCGTGTATGATCATGCCTATTAGACCCAGACTTAAACATGAGCTAAATAACGTTGGCACAATAGTTCGGTGTTATTGACGACATGCTCTGCAGTACAGCATGACATTTTATGAATTTAAGACAGATTTAAATCCAAAATATTACTTGCTCAGCAGCTAAGTTAATGCTAATGGACACCGAGGCGAACTCTGACTGCAACGTTTATAACTGTGTATAACTTAGTTATAAACATTTTTAGTTAAAACACCCTCAGTTTGCAATAGATTGTACCTTAGTGTCCAATAACACCAACTTCGGATAGCAAACATGGTCATTTTCTGCCTACATTTCAGCCAAGTTCATGTCAGGGTAATTATACAAGGACATTGGTTTCTGCATTTAAAAAATATTAAAAGGATCAATGTAATTTAATTATAAATTGTGAAGCACTCATCTCCGTGAACCATCTATTCCAAATCTATAAAATTTAAGAATGCCCATCCGCAGTACTGAACTTCATCCCAAAACCACCACAATCTTTAAGTAGCAGCAGGGTGTTAGACGCAAGTGCTAAACCAATGTTCTCGTACGATGTCGCAGAAAAGATGGGGCGGTTATTTAAAGTTCTGTCTATTTCTACAAAGTGGGCTAATAAACTATCATCGTCTTAAACATAATCGTCAAAAATGGCCAGAAGGACCCTTCGAGGAGGATCTCGATGGTTAGACAGTGGAGGGTCGAAATATTTAGGCATCTACATCATGAATGTGAAATCGTCTATTCAGTGCTTTTTCCGTACGCTCATACTATTTCGTAATCCATAAGATGTCCCAACAGAGTTAGTTTCGTCATCACTGTAGATTTCTTTTGGAGTCTCTCTCCTTCGTATGAAACGTGTTAAAGCCAATATGAAAGCGTCTATACTCAGACTGAATCCGCGTCGAGATTCCGTTAGACAAAAGTACTGATGAGAATTGGAAGATAAGTGAGGTGTTTAATGCGTTCAACTACTCTCCCTATAATTATCTCACGCAATGACCCAAGCCAACTCTGAAGTAGCATTTTACATTTGGAGGGGAGAGCCGCATCCCAAAAATGCTTGACTTGTTGCTTAAGGTGGCCGAAAGACTGCTCTTTGTGAGCGTCTTCACCAAACAGTGTTATCTCTAAAAGCATGTTTATGACAAAGTTTAGTAAGAATTGAAAAAGCGGTCAACCCTGACGAACACGGCTTGATGTAAGCAATACCAATTCCGATAACGGTTCACCACAAACTCTTATTCGACCAGTAGTGTCCGAGTAGAGAGCCCACACAATGTTGATGTACTTCTTCGTTATGCCT